TAAATTAATTATATTATAGCCCTTGCGTTTATTTTTTATTTTTGCAATTTTTCAATATGCGTAAATTATTAATACTAATATTACTTCTGGATTTGTTTCCTTTCTTTTTATATTTGTTAGGTACAAAATGAGTCAAATAAGAAAGATTTTAGTTTTTTTTTTCACCTATTTAAACATAAACCTTCCATAAAAATAATAATAATAATAATAAATCATCTATCTCTAAATATTATTAAATAACAAAATTAAAATTGTTCGCTCAAAATTTTTTAAATATTTATTTTAATGTCACACTTTTAGGTTTATTTTATTTTTGTCGGTAAACTTTTAAATATCTATTAAATTTATTAAAAAAACAATAATTATAACAAAACAAAATCTTTTTATTTGTTAATGAAGCAATATGCTTGACATTTTATTAATTTTTAAATAATTTTCATCCTACTTAACAACAATTTTCCAGAAAAAATTAAAATTTTAAAAATTATCTTTTTTTTTTTTACATTTCGTTTGTTTTTTAAAATATTTTTAAAAAATTACGTGAAAATGAGTGTTTATAAACTTAATTTTTCTTTATAATGAAAAAAATAAAAAGAAACAAAAGTAGTTTCTAAATTAAGCTTTGTTTTTCTTCGTAAAAAAATAGAAAACAAGAGAATAAAAGAATTAATTTAGTTAGTAATTATGGGCCGGACTTCAAAATGTTGGGCCGGATCCGACAGCTATGGACCGACTTAACTTTGAGAGATGCCTTATTTAAACGCAGCTAGCGGAACACGTAAGCAATTATTTTTTGTTTCAGCGCGAATCACCGATGGCAGATCCGGCGGCCCCAGACTCTACCACCAGCAACGCCTCTTCCGCCGCCTCCGCCGATGCTGCTACTACCCCACCCGTAGTTACACCAGTTCCTAAACGTGCTTGGGGCGATGAAGAAGACGATGATGTAGGCGATGCTGGAGATTCATCCTCTGCGCCTTCCGAGTACATGGAATCTCTTAAAATCCAAGACGAAAAAACTCTTGAAGAACCCGAAGACTCTAACATCACAGCGGTAAGTCTCTCTCTCTCTATCGAGTGCGCGCGCAAGTATAGGTCGAAATGGCTTATTGGAATTGACATAGGAGAAAAGCGATACAGATGAATTTGATGTGGAATATTCTTGTCCGATTTTAGATGATGAAGCATTTAGGGTTTAAGCGGATTAAAGATCTTTATGTTCTGGCTGTAAGATTTGGTTCTTCGTGCATCGAAGTGACATAATTGAAATTCCCGATCTACATAAACAAGAACGGGCTGTATACAACAGTCCGGGATTTGATTCTTCGTGCTTCAGATTAACATGTTTGAATTTCCCGATCTACGTAAATAAGAACTCTTTCGAGATAGTTGATGATCAGTGAAGTTGTTTTGAAGCTTTAGTTCTTGTGCTTAGACATGGAGCAATGCGAACTTCATTGTTATGCTATTCGGTTAATTCATTTTTCATTCGGTGTAGGTGACAACTGGTGATACTCCATATTCATCAGCCAGTACTTTTGAGGATCTGAATCTATCTCCAGAGATTTTGAAGGGGTTGTATGTTGAGATGAAATTCCAAAAGCCAAGTAAAATTCAAGCTATAAGTCTACCTATGATCTTGACTCCTCCGTACAAAGATTTAATAGCTCAAGCACACAATGGTTCTGGAAAAACTACTTGTTTTGTGCTTGGGATGTTGAGTCGCGTTGATGTGAACTTGAAGGCTCCTCAGGCATTTTGCATATGTCCTACAAGGGAGTTAGCCATGCAGGCATAAGTTCCCCCTTTCTTTAACTGAATGTCTTTGGCACTTATTTATGCTAGATCTTGATTTTCTTTTATATTAATGTTAATATTACTATTATTGCAGAATATTGAAGTTCTTAAGAAAATGGGAAAATACACTGGGATAACTTCAGAGTGTGCAGTTCCTGCTGACAGTGCTAACTATGTACCTATGTCAAAGCGACCACCAATAACTGCACAAGTTGTGATTGGAACTCCTGGCACAATAAAGAAATGGATGTCATCGAGGAAGCTGGGAGTAAGTTGCGTGAAGATTCTTGTTTTTGATGAGGCTGATCATATGCTTAGCGAGGTAAATTATTATCTGTAAACTTTATACGCATTTGTGCCCATGGAAGTAGTCTGATCTCCTCGTGATGTGTTGTTCAAGAACATTGTTTCTTCATGTATATTTTTGTATCATTTATGATGATCCATGTAATTTTTATTTTGAGTAATTGTGAGGATGAGTATTGGAGTTACTTTTTTTCTCTCTTTTTTTTTTTGGTTACAGGATGGCTTTAGGGATGATTCGTTGAGAATCATGAGGGACATTGAGAAAAGTAGCCCTCATTGCCAGGTCTGTCTATATTATTAAACAACCGTATGTATATGTCATCACTTAATCGTGTGATTATATACTTGTTCATTCAACCATTTAATCTCGGTTTCTTTTTTCTTTAAAAAAAATTGTCTCAGGTGCTTCTGTTCTCTGCTACATTCGATGAGACTGTTAAAAACTTTGTCTCTAGGGTTGTCAAAGACTACAACCAACTTTTTGTTAAGAAGGAAGAACTATCCCTGGAGGGTGTGAAGCAATACAAGGTGATATGTCCAGATGAATTAGCGAAAATTCGGGTCATAAAAGATAGGATTTTTGAACTTGGAGAGAAATTGGGTCAGACAATTATATTTGTGCGCACAAGAAACAGTGCAAGCATGTTACATAAGGCACTGGTTGATTATGGTTATGATGTGACTACCATTCAAGGGGCACTGACGACTGAACATAGAGACAAAATAATAAAAGAGTTTAAGGATGGTTTGACCAAAGTTCTCATTTCGACTGACCTTCTATCTCGAGGGTTTGACCAGCAACAGGTGTGCGGATATCAGTTCCCTATCTTCCCTTTTGTTTTTTTGATGCTATCTCCCTTTACTTGATGCCTTTTCAGACCCCTGATATATCTACTGTTTCTAGGTCAATCTAGTTATCAATTATGATCTTCCTCTGAAATATGAATCTTCTTCAGAAGCGATGAAATTCAGATCTTCCTCACAATCTGAGCCTAACTATGAGGTGTACCTCCATAGAATTGGTCGGGCAGGTCGTTTTGGGCGCAAGGGTAAGCTTCTGTTTCTATTATGCTTATGTATATAAGTTTCTAGATCCTTGAGCAACTTTTTAGGGGTTAGAATCAATCTCTTAGACTAGCTTCTTGATAAATCTTTTGTAGTATTAATTGTAATGAAGAATCACTTGATATTTTCTTGGTATTTGGTTAACTGAAAACCCATGGCTGTTGTGTGATCGCTGCAGGAGCTGTGTTTAACTTGCTCTGTGGTGATGTGGAGATGATGCGAATGGACAAAATCCAGAACCATTTTAACTCTGAAGTAACAGAGGTAAGATTCCTTCTCTGGGTGATCACATTTGAATTCCACTCAGTTTCCTCATCCTGCCTAGATATTGAGTTTCTATCTCAGTACCTTCTGAAATTTGAATTTCCAGGTTCGGGACTCTGATGAGGACATTCAAGCAGCCTTGAAAACTGCTGGATTGCTTTGATGTATAGAGGTGAGTTTACTGCCAAACCCGCACCAGAGGCGATAAACATGGAATGATTGGATGCAGAAAAGTAGATCGGAGTGATGCTTCCGCAGTTTTTGTTTTGCTTTAAAGTAAAATACAATTTGGTTACGAGGGTATGTAATGTGTTTGAGTTGTCAATTTCCGGCAATATGGTTAGAATGTTGTATATTGTGAAGTTATGTTATTTACAGATTACTGAAATCTCTTGGTTGATGAAACCCATTGAAATGATTTGGCTGGCTTTATTATAAGCAAATGTGTTTTTATCATAGAATTTGTGAAAGTAATGAATTTGTAGGCGTAATTTGTAGGTGTGATACAGTTGGCTTTATTACACAGCTTGCCCTACTAAATAGTGGGAAAAGTAGGAAAGGTTCTCTATTTATAATCATTTATCTATCTTAGTCATTTACTTACCCAAATGGTGATGAAAGATCATTTATCTATTTTATTCATTTACCTATCCAAATGGTGATGAAAGCTCTCTATTTATAATCAAATAATCCAATGAAAGAAATTAATTTATAATCAAATCTATTTATAATCATTTACAAAATAGAGAAATACCCATAAAAATATGGTAAATTATAAACTAAATAATAATTTACAAAATAGAGAAACACCATAAAAATATAGTAAATTATGGGAAATTACAAATAATATGAAAAGAACAATAAAAGGGAATAATAATATGATAATAAATGAATATAATATATTTGCCGGTAAATCTTATAATAAGTGTCTTATAATAAATGGTCAACTATCTTTAACAATACCGTAAAAGCAAGTCTATAAAATTATAAATTGTAAAATCAAGTCTATAAAATTGTACAATCAAGTCTATACATCAAGTCTAAGTCTATACAATTATAAATGGTAAAATCTAAGTATTTTATAAAGAAATAAAAAATTAAAGAAAAATAATTGAGCTAGATCCATCCATATTTTTTTCCGTAATATCATGAATAATGTTGTTTAAATAAATAAATAAATAAGTGCACATTTTGGTGGGTAGTTTTGAAAAAAAGAATTAAAATAATAAATTATAGATTTTGGGGTGGAAACTCAAAATATTGACAATTTTGGGACAGTTAAGTAAAGGGAGAAATCATTTACATGGTTCACATGTTACTCTTGGATATTTTTAAATTTTACTAATTATCAAACTTCTAAAAATAGATACGTAATATCCGTCAAGTCTCTTAAAACAAAAACAAGTATTTTTATGCAAATAATGAAATTAGATGAACATTAAAATTTTAAGTTTAACAAGAATTAATTTATGTTAAAATTTTACGAACACAAAACAAAGAAGAAAAAAGTTGAAATTTTTAATAGAAGGAATGTGTTTGTGATCGTTGACTTGCGAGCAGATAATCCAATATATAAACCAATGTTGCCTACCTTGACGCTCCCATGGTGGAACGCACGTCGCCAAGTAGTGCCTCTCCACCTCCTTCTTCCTTCGCTATATGAACCTCCGCAACCCTCACCCATCCACACGCACACACTGGCTTTTACAGACGCCAGAGCATCAAGATGGGACCTCTATTGCGGCTCACAATGGCGGCTTCAGTTCTAATCGGCTGCATCAACATTGTAGCAGCGACGAACGAATACGACATCATTCATATCGCCGGAAAAGTTCTCTGCCAGGACTGCACCCAGGGGTGGAACGAGTGGATCAATGGCAAACCGCTCAAAGGTAATACAGAGTTATTAGGGAACAAATTCCACCTTTAAAATTGCAATCGCTTTCTCCGATTATGTTAATCGACGATCTGGATTGCAGATTGTAAGGTTTCTGTAACGTGTTTGGACGAGAGAAGCAGAGTGATACACTATACGAGTGATCTAACCGACGAATTAGGGCAATTTGATATCAAAATGGAAAAGGTGATGCACGGCAAGAATTTGAACCCGAAGAAATGCTCGGTTCGGCTTGTTTCGTCTCCGGATCCGTCCTGCAACACCATGACTGATTTTGCCGGCGGCCGCTCTGGCGTTCAACTCCGGGGACCGAGCTTGGTGTATCGCGATTTGGTCAAGTACGTGCTAGGACCATTTTACTTCACTTCGCCCATGTGCGAGGAACCTGATACAGATGGCTCCGATGATAATGGTGTGGGGAGTAATTACTGAAACTCCCCTTTTTTTTTCTGCATTCCAAGTTGCTGTTACTGATCTTGTGAATCCATGAAATTTAATATCACCTTCTTTTCTGTTTGTAATTTCGTAAAATTTCTAAACCCTAAACAAAAGTTAAAATGAAGACCTAATCGATTCTAGGTACAAGAAATAAAGTCATTCTAAAATTTTGATGAGAAGCCCATGAATGAAAAACACACTATCTAGTAAATTATATTAGACTTTAGATCTCGGACGGTGTACCAACGAGAATGCTGGCCCTCAAACGGGATGTATTGTGAGATCTTACATTAATTGGGGGGGGGNGGGGGGGGGGGGGGGGGAAACGAAACATTCCCTAGGGTGTAGAAACATCTCCCTCATAGATGGATTTTAAGATCGTGAGACTTGATGGTAACACATAACAAACCAAAGTAGAAAATAAAAGTTTAATATGCAAGGTATTGCTAAAAAGTTGGATTAAAATGTATGAAATGAACATGATAAATTCAATCGGTATCACATTGCATAACTATAATTATGTATGTATGTACGTATTTTAGAAAAGGTTACATTACAAGTCCAAACTCCAATAAATCAACTTATGATGAAATGTTAATTACATAAAAAGTAGAGAAAAATGAGAAGGGGGCCTGGGTAGCTGCTATCAACTTGTAAGCTATGATAGAAAAATGATGCCAAACAAAATAGCACAGATATCATCTTTACAACCATTCATCAAAGTAAAAAGAATCAATTTATTATCATCCACACAAACTGGTAGAAAACACATCTGGGATGGATGATTCAAATGATTTCAACCTCCACCCCTGAAAGAGAACAGCTTGTAGCAGTAGCAGTAAGGCAGTAAATTGTGTCGGTTAAGAATATACCTCACTGCCACTGTGATCAGTATTGTGCGGTTTAGTTTCAGGTGGTTCTGGCAGCAAGTTGAATGAGAGCTCGCCGGTGGTAATTCATACGCAGCCTCTTGTATTTATGAGTAAATGAACTCAAATCTATCTCTCTCTCAAGGAGCTGCATGTGCACATTGTCCGACTCCTCTTCTGTCTCTTTCATTCTCTCTGCAAACAAAACGTTTCAATAATCTGAGCCAATTTGTGACCACAAAATCCGATAACGACTATCACGATATACCTTGAAGCCTTTTGAGAAGTGAAGCAGGAGAACAGAGCTTCATAATGTCCTCTTTCTTTCGGTCAAGTTCGTTTAGCTTCTCCTCGGCTGCTGCCAGTTCAGTTGTCCGAATAATTCTGCACTGTGAGAGAAGAAACAAAAGGGAGGTCGCAAAAAGGACGAGTGAATACAATAAGCAAGAGAATTCACCATTTTCTGATAAACCCATACCTGGTTTCTGAGTTCCATGATGCGTGGTTCCTTTTCCAAGTTCTCACCTTTTCAAGTTAATATCATGATTAACATTTGTCCCGTAAAGATGTGCTTAGAAGAAAAGGCAAGCATAAAAGTCGTCACTAAAAAAAGGCTATGTTACTTACTAGCAAGCTGAAGAGTTTCCTTACGCAGCTCATCTTTTAGCTGGTGACAATTATAAAAAAAATGAAAAAGAGAAGGAACCAATCAGGAACAGTTTACATAAGAAAGACATAATAGGGACCAACTATAGAAACCACACGATAAACATAAGAAATCGTGAAGCGAACAGTTCCTCGGTAACACGAGTCAGTTACGCTAAATTCAGTTGTATCTCATTCACATAGTTATCAAAAGGTTTAGTGATGGAAGTGCACGAGGAGGCATTGAAACTCACCACCTCCCGTACTTCATCACACGACCTCTCCACCTCTATAAAATCATACGTTCCTCTCAATCCTATGATGCTATTCTTGAGATATTGCTAGCTCCCACCTTTAATTGAAAATAATCTAAGTTGGGAAAGATATAATACAGGAAAGAAAATCCTGCAAACCTTAATATTGATTAAGAACGGATTGTTACTTTGATTAAGAAATGAACCATTCATTGAAATAATGAAAATAGAGAGGATGAACATCCTATGCTTACAAGCAGTATACTAGGAAAGATCAAGAAAATACTCTGCAATTTGCTAGTACGTTATCAGAAATAGAAAGCCTGCATGAATAGTTAAATAAACAATCTGCTCGAGATACTTGAGAACCATCAGGTGAATATATTAGTTCTCTTCTATCAAAAACAACCCAATTAAACTTCAACTTATATTTCTTACATTTCAGCTTCACAATTGAGGAAGTTTAAGAACTAAGGGAAGAAAACGTAGCTTACATTGTTCTGAGTTTGGACCTGGTCAAGTGAAAGGAGGAACTGATTATATGCATCCTTGTCTGACAAAAGCTTTCGCAACTCATCAACACTGACCAAATTTAAAAGGGGAGAAAAAAGTCAATATCCTGAAACAGCGAAATAAAGAACATTGAAATCTGGTTCGAATCATAACAAGCATTTGAAATCAGAAGCAAAATTGATTAAATAAAAAAATTTGTACAACAGTACCTATAAACATCATATATTAACTTACAAGAATGATCACTTAAAGAACGTCCTTGACGAGAAAAATAAAAGGAAAAGATATTCAAAGAGCAGGAAAAAAAGATTGAGAACAACTAGATTTCTTAAACATGGGCACTAGACCAATCTAAAGACCACCCATGTAGCTTTATTTCACTAATGAAGTTCAAATCTTATTAAAACACACACACACACACAAAAGATGAGTGGGTTTTCCACTCCTCAAAAGCATTAAAAATTTTGGCACTAACATTGACTGAAAAGGACTACATAGGTACAAAGAGCCAAAAAAAGGAAACTCTAACAGCACAAAAATAATCCAAAAACCATAAACTTCTGAATATGAATGAGAATCAAAGAAAGTAGTGGGCACAAGCATAATTTTTTGTAGTCGTGGACCTTGAGCTTTACCTTTTGTCCTTCAAAGCAGAAATAATGCCGGCAGCTTCAGCAGGGGAAACGTGTGATGGAGACTGTGGCCTACCAGAAAGCCTATGTGAACTGGAATGATTGGAGGAGGTGCTACCTGGGGTTGCAGGGCGAGAGGAGCTAACAGAGGGTGGATACCATGATTGTGTGGTAACATCTTGTGGAGGACGCACCTGTTCCTCTTGAGATCCCCTGAAAGTAGATACAAAAACACTCGAATGGGTCAATGACTTTGCAAATCATACCAAGAAAAACATCTGTTTAAATGGAATCAGATCAAATCACCATTCAGTGAAAAATGTTGCAAAAAACATTTCCTTTTTAACTGAACCACGGGGTAGTATAAAAAATTCAGAGCTAAATGAGGTGGAGTACACTGCTCGTTAATAAAAGTTTTACCGAATTCAGATGAAGGAATGCTAATCCTTTTCCAATTGTTGATTCTGCAACCAACATGAAAGAGCATATACTCTTTCGAAAGTTGTATGTGGTGGCTTTATGCGAGTACAAACTTTCCAATTGTTGCTTCAGAAACATAACAGGGGCAACAACATGCTTCCGAATGATTAGGAGAGGAGTCCCACATCGACTAATTAAGGGGATGATCATGGGTTTATAAGTATGGAATACATCTCCATTGGTACGAGGCCTTTTTTAGGGAAACCAAAAAACAAAGCCACGAGAGATTATGCTCAAAGTGGACAATATGATACCATTGTGAAGATCCGTGATTCATAATGTTGGATGATGAAAGTCCCACATCGGTTAATTTAGGGAATCGTCATGGGTTTATAATCTAAGAATACACTCTTCATTGGTATGAGGCCTTTTGGGAAGCCCAAAGCAAAGCCATGAGAGCTTATGCTCAAAGTGGACAATATCATACCATTGTGGAGAGTCGTGTTCGTCTAACACATAACACTCACTCACTCTTTTGCTTGCATTAGTCCATCACTTCTCACCTAAGGTACACTGCGAAGAACGTCTTTAAAAATAAAATGGTAGGGACCCAATAAATTGGATTTGCCAAGTATCAACACAGCATAGGGGGAAATGCGTGGGACTCAAAATGCTTGAATGCGGTCCGACCAAGATCTACGCAGAGTAAATATGCCCCTAAGGATCCTCAAACGAGACCAACTTACATTCTCGGCGATATCAAACACTCAAACGTTTGCCTTTGTCGTGCAACAAGAAAATTTGAAAAAATTAAGCATAAAAGCCAGATGTCGTGCACGTCAAGAAGATTCTTGAAAAAAGAAAGTTCAAACAGCAGGTAGCGATACAGATATAAACAATTAAACCTCTTAATTCACAGCCACAAAATCGAAAACCAATTATGAACGAAGTCGGTCTAAAATCAATTCGTAACGAAGTTGAGAAGGCAGCTTAATCAAGAAAATGTGCACAGACTGGCCGGAACGCCCAAAAATCGAACAATCAGAGTTGAAACCTACTAAACAAGAGAATCCCAATCCAAATACATGAAATTAAACACAAAAAAGAGAAAGAAAAAAAACATACCAAAACTTGAACATAGGTCGGAGGATAATCGATCCTGAGAACAAATGATAGGAAGAAAAGCAAAACCCTAGGATGAAAAATCCTCCGACCGGAGAGCAAGGATCCGGCGGACAATTAGACCTGGAATCCGTCTCTGTGCGCGTAATCGCTTTCTTAGGCCGGAATCAAATACCGAATTTTTAACCGATGGAGTTTGATGATTACTCCGACTACTAATATCGGTGCCGTCGATTTCTCAATCTTTCTTCGATGTTATTAACTTGTTGCTTTTCATTAAAATGGCGCGTAGAGTAAATTTCGTGGAATTTAATGTGTAGTTTTGTTTGTTTTTAGGTAAATTTAAGGTTAATTTATACATAAAAACACCATTCATAATAATAATAATAAAAATAATAAAAAAAGTATTCTTATTATTTAAAATGTAAATATTAGCTTTCATCTTTTTTTCAAAATTGTATAATTTTATTAAAATATTTAACAAAAATGATTGTTATTGGAATCCGAACACCGACTCTACCACAATTGTAGGTCCCACTTCTCATTCAAATATTATATTTTAATGAATTTCACTATTTAAAATATTTATGATGAATAAAAAGTAATATTTTAACTACGAAATA